GGTCTTGTTGAGGCAGGTCCTCGGTTGCTGTAGCCTTGTTGCTTACTCTTCTTGTTGTACTTCGTTTTTATATATCGTAGTGAACTCTTGAATTGGCCTTGTGGCCACTTGCTTGTGCTCGGAATTTGTGTGCTGTACCCTGAGCTTGCTTTGCTTCATGCATTGACTTGACTTGTCTTGTGACCGTTTGTTCACCCTACTTGCTTTGACACCCCTCACTTAGCCTATGGGGGCGTGTCAAATGTTAATATTTGTTATAGATCATAGTGAGGTGCTCTTTAGTGAGTACAACTCAGTTAGGGTTTGCTATTTATATCACCCACATTCCTAATCTCATCATTCCGTTGCATTCTATTTCTGAGAGTGGGTGTTAGGGCGTGTGACCGTCTGGACGGCCCACCGTACGGACTTTTTTAGGGTTACTAAATTCGGCAAAATCCGTAGACGAATCAAAGACTAAGCGAACACTCACGATATCAGTAACCTTACAAAAGTCCGGACTATGGACCGTCCAGACGGGCAGAATTGGAAAGTTACACGCCGTTAACCTCAATAAATACATGCACAACGATGTGGTGTAAATTTCAATTACCGTATCACCCCGGATATAAGCGCCATGGCGCTTATAATAAAATCGATTTTTTTAAGGGTGGCGCTTGTAATTGAATAATGGCCATAAGCGCCGGCGCTTATATAAAGACAAATACAGAAATACAATTCAAACGCACCAACATGTACAGTTCAGTCTCGTAAGTTGAACCGAATTAAAACTTTACAGCGTCCAGAATCAGAATCGCGCGAGGGCGAATTTCTGACGGTGCACTGAGCTTTGGCGCGTCATTTTGCCCGCGTGCCAGCTCATACTGACTGGACGCGCAACCAGTGAGGTCCGCGAAAGTCAAACAAAGTGAAAATGTGATGTGACTCGCTAGAAATATGAAGTTCGTTACCGTTTTAATCAGGAATGAAAAATAAATTTAGGCGTGCGCTTATAATAAGTAAAGCATTTTCAGGGGGGGCGCTTATAATCGAATTCCGGCCATAAGCGCCATGCTCCAGATAGAAGCGCCGGCGCCTTTAATCGGACGGCGCCTATATCCGGGGCGATACGGTATGCCTATAATATTGGAAGTTCGTCAAAGATAGTTTTGTTAGGACTTGAGATCCCAAATCAGGAAACGTCAGAATGTTTTGAAGATTTCTTGCAAACGCCAACCTGTAACATGGTAAGAATCAACTCCCAATTGACAACAAAAAATAAGTAATCACCTATTTGAATACAAATAAATAGCTCAAACGAGTCTGTACACTCAAAACGCCTTCAGATTGCATCTTGCTCGGCTTGTCCTCCTCCACCGCCACCCATTTCACCCCGCCATGGCTGACCCGTCCGCCTGGTTGAGCCAAGCCAGCGCCATGGCAGCAGTCCAGGAAAAATGGCTGCCTCCGGCGCCCTGCCCTGTGATGGGATCGTAATACTCGTACAGGCCGTGCTCGTTCATCAACCGCCGTGTGCTCGCCTCCACTCGCATCGCCAGGTCCTCGTAGCCATAGAATCTCAGCCCATCCGTCACCATGTAGTTGACGATCGCCCACACTGGGCCCCTCCAGTACCTCAGCTTGTCGAAACGCGCGTCGGCGGGGTCCAAGCTTGGCATGCCGTACTCTACTTGGTCCAGCCACGTCGACAGAGTCGCTGCCAGTGTCTCCGCTTGTTCGACCGTTGCAGTGCGAGCAAACAGCGGCAAGAAACCTGCTGACGTGGCGGCATCGAGGAAATCCCCTGTGAGCTGGTCGCGGCAGCGGAAGATGCCACTCGACTCGTCCCAAAGCGACGGGAAAGCCGCAGCAGAGCGTTGCAGCCACTGGTCGATTTCCATGGCGTCGTCTGTGCGTCCCAGGGTGACGGCGAGCCAGCGGAGGTCGAGGTTGGCGCGGTGAAGGAGGGAGTTGGTGCACACATCGGTCACTCGGAAAGGCGACAGGTAATAGAGCTGGTTAGGGTCATAGTCTACGGCGCGGAAGCGGTACAGCAGCGTGAGGTAGCGATCGTACTCCGCCTGCGTGGGACGCATTGACGCGTCGACGTGGCCCAAATCCCTGCGCGTGTACGCGGGGATGTCGTCCACGGGCACGTTCCGCAGAGGCACGTCCCACGCCACGCTATTGTCCATGCCCGACTCCCACGGGTGCAGCGTCGCCACCAACCCCGTGTCTTGCGGGTCGCGCGCCATGTGGAACCACCGGTGGTAAGCCATCAGCTTCGGAAACAGTTCCTCCGCCTGCTGCAAGCTGTAGCTGCTCCGATCGTCCGCCAGACTGCCGCCGTTCCATGCCACACCGTCAGCAACATCTCCCCCCATGCTTCGCTCAAGCAATTGCCGAACCGCCGTCGCCGCAATCGGTGGCTGAGTGATGCCGGTGCTGTTCCGAGGGCTCTCCGCCGTGCCCCAGATTTCGGGACCGGGGAAGTAAGTGGGGCTGGGCTGGTGGAACACGATGTGCGGCACCATGCCGTCCTCCCATTGCGCGGAAAACAGTCTCCGCATCTCCTCCCACGCGCGCTCGTGGTCCACGGCGGACCAGCCGATGGCCACGAGTCCAGAGTCCCAGTTCCACTGGTACGGGTACAGCCCCTTAGCCGGAATCGTATACCCTCCTCGGTCGTTTCCTCGAAGGATCTCCTCCGCCTCCAGCACCACCTCCGCTCGGAGCCCGCGTGCGAGCCGTTGCGCGTCTTTGGCGGGAATGTCAAACGATTCCAATGGCGGACGAGCTGTCAGCGGCGGCGCAGTGGTGACGGCGTCTAGCTGGAGCAGGGTCTCGGTGGAGACTCGCCGGAGAAGGGGGAGGGAGGGGCTGCTCGGTGGGAGGAGCGACGAGGACGACGCGGACGACGTGAGTAATTGCGATCCGCCTTGTGTTCTGTCGAGCGACATCGGTGGAAGAGCGTTGATGCTCACAGAACGATCCATCGCTTGCAAAGTCAAGGCTTCAGCGTTCGTCATGGCCTCGGATGCGGGTGCAGAGAGGAACGAGGCAGCCTGTGGGGCAGCAGCTTCCTGAGTAGATGCTTGGAGGACTGCACTGACAGGAGCTGGAGGTGCCGAGATTACGTGAGAAGCCATTATTGATGCTACATCCATGGTGAGAGCTGACGACGATATTTGAGCTGAGATGGATGGTCAAACAAAGCAGCAGCGAAATGAGACTGAAGAATAAGCCGAAACAAAGCTGTCAATAAGTAGGCTTTGAGCTTGGTGAGAAGAGAAGGAAAGTATGAAAGGCGAGGCGAGGCACCATCTGATCAGCGAAGTGCATAGGAATTTGGGCAGAGCCACGAGCTCAAATCCATTTCCGCCGACTCGATCAGGTGCATTCGGCGATCGCGCGCCAAGCCGCAGATACATGTTCACCACCAGTGCCCAATCGCCAATCGTGAAAAGCCCCAGCACCTAGAGTGGCGTTTGTGGACAAGCACTGCGGCGCGGCGGCTGCTAGTTTCGTAGCCGTCAGCTTGCGTCAAATACCACGTGGCACGGCCATCGCAAGTCGCGAAATGACCACTCTCGTACGTCAGCAGGCTGAACTCAAGTTTTTGGCCGAGGGTAAGACTGAAATGACGGGGTCGCCACGTCATGAGGCGTGGTGTCAGTCAGCAAAACGGCGCACTAGCACCAACCGAAATACTCCTGATTATTAGTCCGGTTAAAGGAGCTTGTTCTCACGCTAACCATGGACTTACTCATGGTAATTATGATGCAAATTCAACAAATATGCTAAGTGAGAAGTAATGATACATCCAGAACATTTATCAGGACAAATCTCTCTTAAACGTAATTAATTCAAGGAAAACGATGAAATACCATACATATAATGGGATGCACCTTTCAGCAGATATATAATACTGCAATCACATTACTTTATGTACATATTTCAGCATGTAATATAAGTAAACATGCTAGCCAACTAAACATGGGCATATTAATGATCAACTCGAAAGTGGTCATACTTATGGGGTTCAGTGTCGAATTTTTCTATAGGAAGTATCCACTACACTTGCTGCGCTATGTAGGAGATATTATTGTTCAACCCTGATAAAACCCTGACATCTCTCTGGCCTTCCTTCTGAAGGTCCGATCCCGATATTTCAATTCGCTTGTCACAGTCACACTTCTCTTAGGTGAGTATGACGGGGTATTTTGACCCAACCAGCAGCAAAGCGCGTTGACTCCGTGGGCCAGTGTGAGATGTGCACACAGAAGGACCGCTCTGCGCTCACGGACGTGTCAATGTTGGTGCCTCAGCTGCATTGCCGTCATCATGCCGCGCCTCGGCTCCTCGTCACGCTTATAGCCTCCTTCCACGCCATCACCTTTTGGCGGGAGGCAATGCACGAAAGGAGATAGGGAGGGCAAGGCATGTGTGAGCATTCGCGGCGCGATGGAGGGCGGTGTGAGATGACTTGAATGGTTGCGCGGCGCATCATGCCACACCCAGAGCAGAATTGATGGCATTGCTTGCAAGGACCACAATTGATCCCACCCGGAGCACTGATCCATAGTTGCACTGCAGTTTTGTTGCTTCAAAACCCATCGATACAAGACTGTGTCCAACCATTCGCTTAAGTCCCCGCCCCACCCGAAGTTCGGAGACAGTAGTCAGTGGCGAATAACACGGTGGTTTGGATGCGCAGCATTCAAAGACCACGATCGACCATCGAATTGGATGCCCCTGCTTGCCGTTCCTTTCGCGCAATCACTGGACGTCCAGAACAAAAGCGAGAACACAGGAAGTCAAGTAGTCATTGCTACTTAGAGAGAGTTTAGGGTTATCCTCGCACAATGCGTTCGATTAGCTAGAGCCAGCTGAAAGTAGGGGCGATTTTTTTAAAAGGACGAATCAGCCTTGGAGGCGTGTCGTCAGCCGGGTTCCTCTGGCCCAGCATGGCCAGGGCTCCTCCGGCCCTCTCCCATTCCCACCACATCTCGCCGTTAACCATGCCGTCGCTTCTCGTTATTACCCTCTTAATCGTTGCACCGGTCGCGTGCCTGGCCGTCACGCGCCCGTCGGACATAGAGGCGCTCCTCTCGTTTAGAAAGGCTCTAAAAAATCCCGCGCCGCTTAAGTGGCCCGAATCGGGCGATCCGTGCGAAGACAGCTGGGAGCACCTTTCATGCAGCCGCGACCCGTCTTCCGACTATCACGTCGTTTCCGGCATGCTCCTGCCGCAACTCGCTCTCGGCGGCAAGCTCGCGCCGGCCATCGCGAACTTGACGGACCTACGCGCCGTGTTTCTGGGCGAAAACGGCTTCACGGGGCCGGTGCCGGCGGAGCTGGGGCGGCTGGAGAAGCTGGAGAAGATGGGGCTAGACCACAACCTGTTCACGGCCATTCCTGTTAATCTCTTCGAGAACATGACGAACCTGCAGGCCGTGTACCTGCTCTCTAACGACTACCAGGGCCAGCCCTTGCCGGACTTCTCGAAGAACGCGGCCCTCGAGGTCATGGAGCTCACCGAGTGCGGTTTCTCCGGTCCGTTGCCTGCGTACATCGGCCGCATGGCGTCGCTGGTAAATCTCAGCCTGGCGCACAACCAGTTCGCTGGCGAGATCCCCCCCGATATGTTCGGCGCGGGCCAGGCTAGCCTGCAGTCGGTGCGGCTGAACAACAACCAGATCAAGGGGCCCATTCCCGAGGGCCTCGGCCAGGTGCCGCTGCTCTCGGAGCTATGGCTGCACGGTAACCTGCTCTCGGGCGCCATTCCCGACTCGTTGGGCGGGCCGCTGTCGCTGCTGCAGTCGGTGAAGCTGTACGAGAACGAGCTGACGGGCATGGTGCCCAAGACGCTGGGCGACACGCCCAACCTGCGCGACCTGCAGGTGCAGAAGAACCAGCTCGTGGGGCCCATCTGGCGCTTCATGAAGCAATTCGGCAACAAGAGCTACAGCCCCAACGGCTTCTGCGGCGCCAAGCCCGGCGACAAGTGCCCGCGGGAGACGATGGCGCTGCTGGAGTTGCTCAAGGCCGTGCAGTACCCGCCCGTGCTCGTCGCGTCGTGGAAAGGGTCGTCGCCGTGCGGCGCCGCCGACCAGGTTTCGTCGTGGGTGGGCGTGGGGTGCTCGGCGCGCGGCAAGGTGCGCAGCATAACGCTGGCCAGACAGGGTCTCAACGGCACGCTCTCGCCGTCGGTGGGGAAGCTCCTGTCGCTCGAGATGCTGCAGGTGCCCGGCAACAACCTCACTGGACCCGTGCCGCCCCAGCTCGCCGCGTTGCCAGCGCTAAAAGCGATCAACCTGGCGAACAACAGCTTCACGGGCGACCTGCCCCAGTTCGCGCCGGGAGTCACGGTGCTCTCCATGGGCAACCAATTCACTGTTGCCGAACCGCCCGCGGCGCCGCCATCCGAGCCGCCAGTCGTTCCGCCCGCTGCGCCTCCCTCTCTGCCTTCAGTGCCGAAGCCCCCCGTTGTGGTGCCGCCGGTGGTGGTGCCGCCAGTAGTGGTGCCCAAGCCCAAGGTGCAGCCGCCTGTGCTCGCTCCGAAGCCCAAAGTGCCGCCCGTCGTCGTCGTCAAGACTTCTCCACGCAAGCCGCACGTGCCGCGTCGGCCGCACAACCCTAAGAGCCCCGTGGTGACACCCCCCGTTAATACCACTAGCCCCACCACTCCGCCGAAACCTGTTCCCCCGACGCCTAGCACGCCCCCAGGTAGAGACTTTCCGCACTTTTAGTTGCTTGCTTCTCTTTCTTTCGTGCCAAGTGGCCTCACCTTATCTCTCTCGTGCACTGTACTTTCAGTTTCAGCTCACCGTGCCTCTCTCCCCAAACCCCGTTCCCCGCAGCGTCCGTGCCAGTCAATATGACCGCACCGCCGTCTCTCCCGTTAACGCCTCCGCCGCAACAGCCAATACAGAACGTTAGCGCGATCGCCGGGGGTGACAACGCCGCGAGCACCAGCAGCAGCAGCAGCAGTGCGGCACCAGCGAGCAGCGGGGGTGGCGGCAGCTCTGTGCCGATAGCGGCGATCGTGGTCCCCGTGGCGCTGCTTTTGTGTGTCGCCCTCGCGCTCTGCGGCCTCTGCATCTTCTTCCGCCGCTCGCGCCACTGGCGCCGCGTGGGTAGCCCGTCCATGTGAGTTGTTGGAGGTGTAGACCCGCCTAGTGCGGCGCGAACGAACACTCATTACAAGTAGAGCGTCCCCTCTGGCCCCACATACAGACACAACCCCGCATTGGGTCATATAATAAGCCCGCTATTCTTTCCCCCTCCTTCCCCCGCTGCTCGCCCCCAGGTCCGACTCGCGGGATCCGCATGGCGCGCTGGCGTCGGCGACGGTGCCGATATCGCTGGCGGGGGCCACGGCGCCTACGGACGTCAAGATCCGCATCGATCCCGCGGCGCTCGCCGCCAGTCGCGGGTTCGCGGTGGGCGACTCGTCGGAGGGCGACCTGCTTATCCGCATCGAGGTCATCCGCGCCGCCACCGGCGACTTCGCGCCGTCCAACATCATCGGCAAGGGCGGCTTCGGTACCGTGTATAAGGGCGAGTTGGAGGACGGCACCAAGGTGGCGGTGAAGCGCATGGAGCTGGGTCACCTCTCCACCAAAGGCCTCTCCGAGTTCCAGGTAACGCATCGCACCCCTGCTTGCTTCCCTAGCATCGCCCCACCTATCCGTCTGCATTTCTCTAACGTGCTTTCGTCATCCATGTCCGCGTGCGTGGCGTGGTGGCGGTGCGTGTGCGTGCAGGCGGAGATCGGCGTGTTGACGAAGCTGCGGCACCGCCATCTGGTGGCGCTGCTGGGGTACGTCGTGGACGGCTACGAGCGGCTGCTCGTCTACGAGTACATGCCCAAGGTGCCGCGCTCCCCCCTCCTCGCTCTCCCCTCTCTCTGCGCCTCTAGCCTCGTCTGCCTGGTGGAATCTGCTTCCTTGTGATTCCACGCAACCACCCAAATCCTTCCCATCCTCTCGGCCCCTCAACGTTCTCACCAGCCTCCCCCCGCTTTCCCCGTGCTCCCTCTGCTCCCGTGCGCAGGGTCCGCTGAGCCGGCACCTGTTCGACCACCAGCGCCTGGGGCTGCGGCCGCTGGACTGGCGCACGCGCGTGTCGGTGGCGCTGGACGTGGCGCGCGGGCTGGAGTACCTGCACGGGCTGGCGCGCGCGTCGTTCATCCACCGCGACATGAAGCCGAGCAACGTGCTGCTGGACGACTCGTTCCGCGCCAAGGTCTCGGACTTCGGCCTCGTCAAGCAGCAGCAGCTCGGCGGCATCGACGGCTACCAGCCCTCCATCGAAACCCGCCTCGCCGGCACCTTTGGCTACCTCGCCCCGGAATATGCAGGTATGGAGTGTGCAATGCGGGTGGCCTCGTTGCTGCTGGGCCTTATGCGACGCATCAGACCACCGCGTGGACTGCCCTAAACCACCCCGTTCCCCTTCACCTCTACGCCCCTGGGTGCATGCATGCAGTGACGGGCAAGGTGACGACCAAGTCGGACGTGTACAGCTACGGCGTGGTGCTCATGGAGCTCGTCACGGGCCGACGCGCGCTCGACTCGAGCCAGTCCGAGGACACGGTGCACCTCGCCACGTGGCTGCCGCCGCACATCCCCGACCGCCAGAAGCTCGCTCTCGTACGCTCACTTCCCACCCCTTCCTGCTGCTCCTTCTCTCCCATGCCAATCCGTCCCATGCTCCTTCCTCCAAACCCAACCCATCCCTTGGCCTCGCCTTAACGTTCCTCCGTACCATGTCCATTCCATGTGCATCGCCCCCTCCCCAGGTGGTGGATCCGACGCTAGCAGCGGAGTCACCGACGGTGGTGGGCGGGGAGGCGGGCAGCGGGGTGACGGTGTTCGAGTCCATCTGCGCCATGGCGGACCTCGCGCTGCACTGCACCGCCAGGGACCCCAAGCGACGCCCCACCATGAGCGATGTTGTTGCCGCGCTCGTGCCCCTCGTGCAGCAGTGGAAACCCCAGGCGAGCCCCCCTCCCCCCTTGCCAGCAGCCCTGCATGGATTGTGAAATTGCCTCGAGCACAGCTTGTGCTCACATCACTTGCTCCTCTCCTTTACCCTTCCACGTCATCATACTTGTCTAAACCCCAAGCCCCTGCAAACTGTGCCTCCCAAATGTGTGTGCGCCTACCAGGATCCGTTGGAGGACCAGACGGGCGGCATCGACATGGCAATCAGCCTGGCGGACGCGCTGCAGCAGTGGAAGGAGATGGGCGAGGGCGACGAGCTGCCTGGCGCCTACAACCCTGATGACAGCTTCTGCGCTGACTGCAGCCCCAGCTTTGATGGGTTGGGCGCTGTTGCTGCTGCAGGGGCGTGCGCCAACGGGTGCTGCAAGGGCAAGAAGACGGCAGGCGAGGAGGGTGAGGGGTCTGCAAACGACAAGGCAGGGGAGAAGCTGGGTGCAGGGGCCAAGAACGTGGGGGCGTTTGTGAGTGGTGACCTGGATGAGGCGGCGACACTGGGTGCTGGCAGTGGCAAGGGAGGCAAGGTGGTGCTGGTGGAGTATAGTGGCAAGAAGCCCAGTGCAGGAGAGGCAGCAGCCACAGCAGCCAAGCTAGGCGAGGTGCTCAACGGGCTGTCGGCGCCAGGCATGACTTTGGAGGAGCAGTATGCAGCAGATGGCTCTCCAGGCAGGGCAGACCTCAGTGTGGCCAGCATTCCCACGTTTGTGCCGGGTGCAGCTGTGGTGTCTGCCAGGTAGAAATGACTGCTAATCTGTGGTCGACCCTAGACTCTTTAGTGACCCAAGACCAGGTAGGGTGGGTTTTTGTAGCCCATCAGCTGAAGCCATGCTTTTTTCTGTAGACGTTTGATTTGTAGCCTATCAGCTGAAGCCATGCTCTTTAGGGCTGGGGGAGCAATAAGATGCATGAATGGGCAGCAGGCAGGCATGGGAGTCAGAAGACCACCAACTGCAGCGTAAGGCCTTTTGGAGTGGGCTGCTATGAAGGTGTTGGACTTAGTGGGTAGAATTGCTTGAAAGCATGTAAGCGTTTAATTTCAGTAGTGGTTATTTATGTATCTATTGCAATTAGTAAAATTTACTTGAGTGCTGTTACAATTAGTATGGAATATCTAATCAGTCATTTTCCCTATGTTCTCTATGTAAGGCATGTTTTACTCAGGTATCAATCGTACACCTCAGCGAAATTCAAGCGCGTTATGGTATTCCATCAACCCGTCGCAATCCCCAATGTGGCTCGTGCGTCAGCCCATCGCGCATCGCGGTTCGACGCGGATGCGATTGATTGCAGTCCCGTCTGATGTGACACTCGCACTGGCTGCTCGACAGGCTGTCACCTTGTCGGGTTGTCTCCCTGTCGGGCAGGCCGGGCGCAACTAGCACTGCAATCTACTTGCAGCAGCGCCCACTCAAGTATAAAGGCGCGAATCTGCAGGCACCATGACACGCTAAGACAAGCACTGCTCACTGAACAAGCTTCAGTTCTCTGACATCTTCCCTCCGCTATTTCCTGCCTGTAGACTCTCTCACCTGTCAGCTATGGCAAACCGTCTGCCAATGAGGTCGTTGGTCCCTCTGTCTCTGCTGCTGCTCGTTGCGTCGGCGGCCATGCAGCGAGCAGCAGCGCAGCCTCCGTTGGACTACCGTGACGCGCTCGCAAAGAGCATTCTCTTTTTCGAGGGGCAACGGTCGGGGCGACTGGATCCGCGCACCAACCGCGTGCCATGGCGCGGCAACTCGGGCCTGCAGGACGGCGCACGCAACAATGTGAGCTCTGCCTTGCACACGACCCGCTGCCCCGCTGTCACACACCCTGTGGGATGATTCTGACCACGTGGTGACACACTATAGTGCGACGCGCAATAATGCGCCTTGTGCTGATCGCCTCTCCTCCGTGCCCCCTCGCATGGCGCGCAGGTGGATCTGGTGGGCGGGTACTACGACGCGGGCGACAACGTGAAGTTCGGATTCCCCATGGCGTTCACGGTGACGGTGCTGTCATGGGCCGTGGTGGAGTACGGTGCACAGCTGCAGGTGGCGGGGCAGCTGGACGAGGCGCTGGACGCCATTCGGTGGGGCACGGACTACTTCCTCAAGGCCAACACCGGGCCCACGGAGCTCTGGGGGCAGGTGGGTGCTCACAGTAACGGGAATGGCTGCTGCTGTCTTTAGTGCTTTCTTGTCAACGCTTTAAAGCGTAGGGTGTTGGTGAATGGTTAAGAAGTGGGGTGTTGGTGTGAGCTGCCAGTACTGTGATGCGGGCAGTAGCAGCAGCCCTGCTCATTCCGTGCTGTTACACCTGAAGCACACAGGTCGACTTTGAGCCTGAGACTCTCACCCCTGTGTGCGGGCTCGATGCGGCCGTGGCAGGTGGGCGATGGCAACTCGGACCATGCGTGCTGGCAGCGGCCTGAGGACATGACAACAGACCGCACGGCATACAAGATCGATGCTCAGAACCCCGGATCCGACCTCGCCGGCGAGACTGCTGCCGCTCTCGCTGCCGCGTCCCTTGCCTTCAGGGGCCGCAACAACTCGTATGCCAACACGCTCCAGTCACGCGCTCGCCAGGTAAACAGGCACACGTTTCAATGCAATCATTGCTGAGGTTGGCTCCCGCGGTATGCCTTGACCACTTACCATATGGCCAATTTGCTGCATGGGAGGAGTCGGAACTGGAGCATGAATTCACCACTGATTTGTGTCTCCCTGCCATGCATGCGGTGCTATGGTTCAGCTATTCGTGTTTGCAGACGAGTACCGTGGTGTGTACAGTGACGCCATCCCCATTGCGCAGAACTACTACCGCTCCTTCAGCGGCTTCCAGGTACGCCCACATCTGACATCTCACCTCTTCCTTCTGGGAGTATTGTGCATTTGCACTTCGTCACCCATTCAGCAGCTTGCACCAGCAGTGCAAACAAGTGCCACCCATTTCTCGTTCCCTGGCAGGACGAGCTGCTGTGGGCGGCAGCGTGGCTGTACCGCGCAACAGGTGATGAGGCGTACCTGCAGTACATACAGCGCAACGACGCTCAGCTGGGCGGCAGCACGCAGCAGCAGAACGAGTTCAGCTGGGACAACAAGTACGCGGGAGCACAGCTGCTGCTCACCGAGGTCAGCCTCCCCTGCACTCACGCCCCCCTTGCTCTCCACATCATTAGCCACAACGCCATGCATTTCCGGCTCTTGCGCTACTTTTTCATCGCACTCGTGCTTCAGCTGACAGAATTCCTCCCTCAACTCCCGCCCGCTCCTCTCTGTGCCTGTTGGTGCCCCAGCTGCTGCTGACCGGTCGCATCCCGTCGAGCTCGTCAGACCTGTTCAACCGCTACCGCCGCACTGCAGAGTTCTACGTCTGCAGCAACATGCCCAACAACCCACTCTCCCGCACTCCCCGCACCCCAGGTAAAGCAGCAATCCGATTCATGCTCCTAAGAGAGCCATGCTTACATCGCTGCTTCATGTTGTTCCCCTCCATCAGCTCACCTACAAACGTCAAGCAATCTTCGCATCTGATTACCAAATTTCCTCCGGTGTGTCCCCTTCCTCCCACTGGAAACCTACCGCCTCACGGCAGGGGGGCATCTGTACATCCCGGGGCGCGGGGTGAACAACCAGTACGTGACCAACATGGCATTCCTGACCACTGTGCTCGCCGACACACTGCGGCGTGCCGGGCAGAACCTGCAGTGCGCCTCCACCACCTTCACACCGCAGCAGCTCCTCGCGGAGGCCAGGCGCCAGGTGGGTGCTGCGTGGATGTGTGGACGCGTGGGGTCAAAGCACATGTCGCAGTGAGAGGGCGAGGACAACTTCGAGGTTCCTCACCCGTTTGCATCCAGTTCTTTGCTCAACCTTCACTCCAAGCTCACAAGCCCAGGTTCATAAGAGAAATCTCCTCCCATCCCACACAACCACCATGTGTGCCTCGTGCCCCGTGATTCATGCCCCCCCAGGTGGACTACATCCTGGGGCGCAACCCTCAGGGCCTGTCGTACATGGTGGGCTTCTCCCCCTCCTTCCCCCAGCGCATCCACCACCGCGGCGCCTCCATCCCCTCCATCTTCGCCGCCCCGCAGCAGATCGGGTGCTCCGAGGGCTTCCGCTACCTCACCGCCTCCTCCCCCAACCCCAACGTGCACGTCGGCGCCATTGTCGGTGGTCCCAGAGACGGGGTGAGTGCAGTGTAACAGGCTTGGCATAAAGGTGGTCTTGCTCCTTCTCTACGGGCTCTCACCTGTCTGCTGTGTGGTGGTGTGGTTGGTGTGTTTTTGTGTGTGACCTATTGGCAGAGTGACACATATGCAGATGACCGCACTGACTACAGCACGGCAGAGCCCGCCACATACATCAACCCTGGCATGGTCGGTGCTCTCGCTCGCATCGTTGGGGGCGGCTCTTCATCAGGGCAGCCTCCTTCCACCCCGCCTCCTCCTCGTTCCTCCTCCCCTCCTCCTCCTCGTTCCTCCTCCCCTCCTCCTCCTCGTTCCTCCTCGCCTCCCCCTCCTCGTTCCTCTTCCCCTCCTCCTCCTGGTTCCTCCTCCCCTCCTCCTCCTGGTTCCTCTCCTCCTCCGTCCTCTCCCCCACCTCCTCGTTCCTCTCCCTCCCCTCCTCCTTCAACCACCCCTTCACCACCATCACCGTCACCTCCGGTCACGCCCAGCCCTCCCTCTGCAGGTGATGTGCTTTACCTCAAACTAAAGCTCATATACTATTGTACCTTTCTTCATCCAAGCACTGTGCTCATGTTTATCTAACGTGAAAGTTGTAGTTGTCGTGATTGTAACCTATCCCAACACCACTCATCCCACAGCGATCATTGCCACTTGTGTCGTGGAGAACGCATGGAAGGACAACGGTGTTCCCAAGGAGCTGTGGCAGTGTACCGTTCGCAACGCACAGTCCAGGACTGTGAAAAACATCGCCCTCCGCTGCTCCAGCTACGAGCCCATCACTTCATGGAACCTTGATAGCAACTGTCGCTTGTCTGACTGGGCTGCCAACCTGTCGCCTGGTGGAATTGCTACCTTTGGCTTCATCCAGCGTGCTGGCTTGGCTCCTCGTATCGACGTCGTTGGCTATGCATCTGCATAGCCCACTCGGTGACCCATGCATAGCTCTTGATGCACATTGTTGATGTATAAAGTGGCTGTTTCATGAAATCAAGAGTTTCATCGCAAAAACATGTGTGACTAAGCTATATTTGTGACAAAGAAGAACTGTAACAACAGCCATCTAATGGATTAACCTGTTTTATGATCTACAACCTGCTGGTTTTCTAGAGTTTCGCAAAAGCGAAGCGGGAGTTCAACCAAATTCATAGCCCAACACTCGGCATTGGTTTGGTTTTACAAAGAAGGCGTCACCTCGACGCACGCTCTCGACCAGTCCTTGTTCCATGCCGCGCGCATGCCATGGCGGAGTACGAGTGTCCCTTTGAGATGTTATCTCAAATGTTCGAAGGTATCTCGCGCGTCAAACGCGGTAAAGGCGGCGCCAACCGTAAGGCGCAGCTCGTGCAGAACTTTTTCGACATCTGCTATGTGCATGCAGCCCGCAAGCACGCGGAGCGCCTCGCCCCGGGCTCCGAGGGAGATCTTAACGGTTCCTCTGGCGCTCGCGATAACGGCGCGGGGGAAGGGGTCGGAGCTGGGGAAACGGCGGGCGGGGGGTTGGGGGACAGCCTGTTCGCAGCGCTGCGGCTGATGACTCCGAGCCTGGACCGCGAGCGCGGCTCGTACGGCGTTCGCGAGGCGGCGCTGGGTCGCTGCTTGGCTGACGCCATTCCCCTGGCGCGCGGGTCGGACGAGGCGCGGCTGCTGGAGGACTGGCAGACGGGCGGGCGCGGCCACGTGGGCGAGAACGCTGGCAACTTCGTGAAAGTTGCGATGGAGGTGAGCGCGCGGCGAAGAGAGACGCGGGTAGGGGGACAGTGAGTCTGCGATGCAGAAACTGCAGGCGGTGCCTAGGTATTGCCGCGCCCCGCTCTGGTGCACATCGTGTTGTTGCTTCAGTGAGTAGCAGGGCCAGCGATGCAGCAGCATGGCACACACACAAGCACACGCTAAGGGGCCTCAACGCTCCGCTCGACCTATTTCCCACCTCTGCCCCACCCAAGCCTCCCCTCCCCCTCCCCCCACCTCGGGCTCCTCCTCCCCCTCACCTGCGGCGTGCGAGGGGTGAGCGTGAGAGCAGGTGGTGGCGAGTCGGCAGCTGGAGTCAAGGAACGAGCTGACCATCGCCGGTGTGAACGCGCTGCTCGACGACCTCGCTGCTGCCGGCCCCAGGTCCTGCCGCCCCTCGCTTCGCGCAGCGCACTTACCCTCTGCACCCACGCCTTCGCTCTCCCCTTTCATTGCGCAATCCATCTCTCTCTTCCAACCCCCCCTTTTCCAGCGCTTCCCCACACCCCTCCCAGCCTCCGGTCACTGCTTGCGCTCTCTGTTTCGGTTTCCCTGTCCCCTTGCTTGTTGCTCTCGCCTCCTCACTGCCCTCGCCACCCCTGCAACTATGTGACGCTAAACTGTGTACTTGTAGGGGATGTGTGTGTGTGTGCGCGCGTGCGCGCGTCCGTGTATGGGTGGGGAGGGACGGGCATGTGTATGTGAATGTGCATGTGTGGCGGGTGCAAGGAGCAGGGAGGCGAAGGTGGCAGTAGTGGAGCGGATGATAAACACCACCAACCCCACGCAGCTCAAGTGGATCCTCCTCATCATCCTGCAAGGTGCGCCACCACCTCCCATATACGCACACACACATCCCGCCATTCATCACCCCTCTCGAACATGCCTCCTGCCCTCCATACATGCGTGCAGTTTCCTCTCACCCCCTCCTTTCCACTTCGCGTCCCTGCATGAACCCTCCTCAGTCACGTGTGCTCTCGCCCTTCCCACCACCACGTGTGCAACAACCAGCGCTTTACTCACCCCTCGTCGCTTTCTACCCACGGGTGCGCTGTCCATGCGCTTGATCATCCCTTCAGGCCTGCACTTCGGCATGAGTGACAAGTCGGTGCTGCGCGCATTCCACCCCGACGCCGAGGACGTCTTCAACCACACCTGCGACCTGCGCCGCCTCTGCCACTCCCTGCCCTCCCGCGCCGTCCGCGCCAAGCGCCAGGTGCGGGGTGGGAGGAGGTGGGGAGGAGGAGGGAGAGAGGAGGACGTGGAGCTGGGTGTGAGCATACGAGGTTGTGCTTGGGAAGTGGGGGAACGCAAAGGAAAACCGGATTGGGATGAGCGGCGGTGGCTGGGAAGGGTGTGGGTGTCTCGGGGGGGATGGTCAATGGACGATGGAGAGAGGAACAGTGTTTGTATGTATCACGGTGTGTCCTTTGCTCACCTGATTCTGCATGTGTGTTGTTATCTGGACACTGCGTTTCATGGCATGGCACGCCATGGTGTGGCATGATGATATGACATGTGATGTGATTGCATGACATGCATCAGGACATAGAGCCAGGGAGTGCAGTGCGGCCACAGCTGGCCCGGCGAGTGGACACAGCAGACGCTGCTTGGAGCCTGGTGCGCCCTCCCACCCCCCTCCACTCCACCCACCCTGTCGCTTGCTCTCCGCCGTTCCCCTGCGTTCTTCACAAGACTATTTCACAACTATGCCTGATGTAATTTACTCAGGGCCCCTACCCCTCGTGCCAATCCGCATTGGTCCCGTGCCCTCCTTCATCGTGTGCCTTGCTGCACTGCTCACACACCTACCCGTGCATCTCATCACATGCCATGGCATGTTGTGTGCCGGCTGGTTCGAGAGGAGGCAAGCACAGCCCGGGCTGATGGGTCTGCTTGGCTGATGGTGCATGCATGCTTGCACGAATTCATGGCTCGATGGGTGCATGCATGGATGCATGAACACATGGGCGCATGCATGCATGGGTGAGAGCAGATGAAGGGCAAGGAGGCGGTGGTGGAGTGCAAGTTCGATGGCGACCGCGTGCAGATCCATAAGAATGGCTCCATAATCAACTTCTTCTCAAGGTCCGTGCATTCTTGCACACGTGCATGTGGACATGCATGCAGACATGCGCGTGTGTTCGTCCACGTGTCATTGTTTGTGCACATGCATTGTGGTGCATGTGGATGCATGCACAGCGCATGCCATGCATGGCATGAGGGGATCAACTCTGCGAAGCAGTTGAAGTCTCTCCGAGCACACCCTGCATGTATGCGTGAAACGCCTCATAGTGCCTTGCGCCTCCAATGTGGTACTGCCATGGCGTGGCATGGGATGGCATGGCATTTTGTGGCTTGGTGTGGCATGGCATGGGGTGGCATGGCATGGCATGGCATGGCATGGGGTGGCATGGCATGTCATGGGGTGGCATGGCATGTCATGGCATGGTATGGCATGGGGTGGGATGGCATGGGATGGGGTGGCATGGCATGGCATGGCATGGGGTGGCATGGCATGGCGTGGTGGCAGGAACTTCAAGGAGCATTCGGAGTTTCTCCCTGGCATGGAGGATCTGGTCGTGAACAACATTCTCACAGACAAGTCAGCCCTGCACCCATACCCCTATGCTCCCATCCGCCCATCCTCCCGTTGTCCCGTGTTCCCTGATCCACTGTTTTCACTTTGTTGTGGACTGTGCCTATCGCTGCGTCTCTCTATTTTTCACACTACAGCTGTGTCGTGTGGTTTTTGTGCTGCATTATGCCTCGCATGGCATGGCATGGCATGGCATGGCACAACAGGTGTATACTGGACGGGGAGATGCTGGCATGGGATCGAGTGAACAACAAGTTTGTGGAGTTCGGATCCAATCAAACAGCAGGTGCGCCCTTCCTGCCCACCCACTGCCTTCGTGCATGTCTGCTCCACGCTACTACATCGCCTCATCGCACACGTCCCATCGCCATGCTGTTTCGCCCACACACACCCACCCACTTTCTGCGCGCTATCTGCGTGTCCTCCCCATTCTTCCTCCGTGCTTGTCCTCCACCGTCTCTGCTGGCGGACCCCACGTGTGCAGCCAAGGAGGCACGAGACGGCGGCAACAGTGACATCCAGGTGCCATGCTGCATGCCTCATCCCACTGTCACGTGCCTCATGCCCCATGCGAGGCGTGCATGGCTAGAGTTGCCTGTGTATACCATGTGACTCTGTGTTCCTCGATGTTCTCCTCTCCCTCCATACGCCATACCTGCCCCGCACATCGTCCCTTGTGCTGCTTTCCTTGTGCTACCTCACGCGCCACTCTTGTCCTTGATTCAAGTGCACACTTATGGCCCTGCCCGTTCTCCCTCCCTCTGCGCCCCTGCACTCACTCTCTCTGTGCGCGTGTCGTCCATCTGCCACTCTGCCACCCCCACGCGCCCCAGCTATGCTGTAAGTGCCAGTGCACGTCTAATGCAATGCACCTTCTGGCATGCCTGTGCTGCCTCGATTAGCCCTAGTACGTGTTGCCATCGCTCTTCATGCACGTATCCTTGAATCTCCTTGCTCTTCCACAAGCCCTCTCAGCGCAGCACCCTACATCACCCCTTCCATTCCTCCTCCGTGCCCCCATCCCATGTGTGGCAGACGTGGCGTTTGACATTCTGTACCACCGGGACGGCAGTGTGATCCACTATCCGCTCAAGCGCCGCCACCAGCTGCTCAAGGAGGTCGTGCTCCCCAAGCCACACCGCCTAGAGCTGCTGCTGCCGCCCGACCCTCGCTCCTCCAACATCTCCCCACGCGCTCCTGGTGCCTCCTGGTCCTCCATTCGCCCTTCTCTCCCCGTCTCCAGTCCCTTTTCTCCCCCACCTGTTACACCCTTCTGTCTTCCTCACGTTCTCCTGTTCCTCGCCCTTCCTTGTTTCTGCGCTCCCCCATCGGCCTCTCTTTGATAACCGTGTAACCGTCCTTCACTGCTTTCGCATCCTCCTCTCACCTGTCTGCCTTGTATCGTTCCCCTGGTTCTTTTGCACTCCCCCTTCTTTCCCCATGTGCCACATCTGCCCCAATGTGCCACATCTGCCCCAATGTGCCACATCTGCCCCAATGTGCCACATCTGCCCCAATGTGCCACATCTGCCCCAATGTACCCCATCTGCCCCAATGTGCCCCATCTGCCCCAATGTGCCCCATCTGCCCCAATGTGCCCCATCTGCCCCAATGTGCCCCATCTGCCCCAATGTGCCACATCTGCCCCAATGTGCCACATCTGCCCCAATGTGCCACATCTGCCCCAATGTGTCTCCCCGCACCGCCACGGTGGGAGGGAGCACAGGCGAGCCCAACTGGTCGCAGTATGCACACAGTGCAGCGGACATCCAAGCCTTCTTCGTGCAGACCGTCGACAACAGGCACGCCTCGCTTCAACCCGTCCTCACTCCTCCCCTTCTGCCTTGCATGTCACTACCTACATCACCACTCGCATCATTGCATGCCACTGCTGCGCACACCAGCTAATTTCTACCCCTTCCATTCACGCTGCTCCTTATCCCTTCCCTTCCCCACTGCCTCACTCCGCTCCCTCCCCTTCCCTCCCTCCGTCGGTGCGGCAACACCCCGTGCATGAGCCATGCAGGGACGAGGGAGTGGTGGTGAAGGACCTGCAGTCGCCGTGGGAGGCGGGTGACCGCTCGTCCAAGTGGCTCAAGCTCAAGCCCGACTACATGGATACCGGCGCTGATATCGACGCCCTTGTCATGGGTGCTGCCCCTCACATGCACGCATGCATGCCCATGCTCATGCCCATGCTCATGCCCATGCTCATGCACGCATGCATGCCCATACTCATGCCCATGCACATGCACGCATGCATGCCCATACTCATGTCCATGCACATGCACGCATGCATGCCCATACTCATGCCCATGCACATGCACGCATGCATGCCCATAATTATGCCCATGCACATGCACGCATGCATGCCCATACTCATGCCCATGCACATGCACGCATGCATACCCATACTCATGTCCATGCACATGCACGCATGCATGCACATGCTCATGCCCATGCCCATGCTCATGCTCATGCTCATGCTCATGCTCATGCTCATGCCCAGTTTCACTGCACATGCCCTGTTGCTATCTGATCACAGCGTCTGTGCGATGGTGTGCCATGGTGCTTCCATGTGATTCCTGCCATTCGCCCTCCACATCCTCCCATTGACATGCCCCTCGTGTCCCACGCACGCACCCATTCAACCCATCTCCCTCTTCTTCTGGTGTTGTGTGTGTGTGTCGCTCTCCCCCTCTCCTCCTGTCCCACCTAGGCGCCTATTTTGGATCCAACCGCCGCGGAGGAGAGGTGAGCTCCACTGCTTCGCTACACCTTACCATGCCATGTAATGCCCTGCCATCCCTTCCATGCCATGCCATAGCTGCAGCAACAGCCAGCGCCGCATGGCCGCTCCGCTTTTTTTGTGATACGTTTCGTACCCCATATTCCCATGCTGCATCGCACTATCTGCTCCTGTCATGCATCACACCTTCCACCATCACCTCTTGCCCTCCTGTCCCCCCACAGCTATCTCAGTTCCTGCTCGGCCTATGGGAGCAACCCCCGGACCCCGACCAGCCTCCTCCACGGTACTTGCGCACTGGCCCATGCCACGTGCACACGACGGCACGCCTGCTCCTTACTGCACCCTCTTCCACTCACTTCCACAATGATCTTCTCCCATGTCACACTTGTTCCTCTCTTCTTGCCTCTCACTGCTCCCCGCATCTCTCCCCTTGTCGCCCGTGCTCCCATGGTGCAGCCTAGTGTCATTCTGTCGGGTGGGGGGAGGCATGACAGATGACGACCTGGCGGACCTGAGGGAGCGCCTGCTGCCCGTGCTGCAGTGCGTGCCTCGCCTCTCGCCTTCCACTCCGCTCCTCTCCTCTCACACCCTCCTTGCACTACATCACACACAAACACAAACACTCACGCTCAGCTGGACCGTCATGTTCACACCCATTCTTGTCTCAGTTCGTTCTTCTCGCCACCCACTTCCCCCACCACCATGCAAACCCGGACCGCTGTTCCTTCCCCTCTGTGTCTCCCCTGGTCCTACAAGCCAGGCTGAACGAGAGAAGTCAGCCCCCCCCGCCGCTGTACGCTGTGACCAACCACGCCAAGGAGCGCCCAGACGTCTGGGTCTCTGACCCCACCAGGTGCGGGATCTTGTGGGGTTTGGCATGGTTATAAACGGTGCTCGACAATTTACCAGATTACTGTGTGTGCTCAGCAGCATGTGGACTGGAGATGCATGTCCTCGTCTAAGTTGGAATATACGCGTACAGCGTATATTCGCGTATCGTATATACGCTAACGTACATACGCTATCCGCTTAGGGGTTCGTTTTGGAGATACGCTTTTTCGGGCAGAGAAAAAACTTTCCGGGCAGGGTGAAATAAAAGTACTCCCTATTCTCACTAAGGCTTGCCCTTGCATAATCCTGAATCCGAATGACGAATGCAATGGGAGGTGGAGTAGACATAATAGCTAGAAAGCGAAGTAGCGTGAGTGAACTCTGGTGAAAGCGGGAACCAAATGACGAGTTAGGGTTAGCCAACAGGGCTGGCTGGTAAGTACCGCGAGATTTGTTGGGGGGTTAATTTTGACAGGTTGGAGTTTGTAGATAAAGTGGGGTTCAATGCGGTAGAAGGGATGGATTTCAATGCCTAGATGGGATCTGAAATTCAACATTTGCCTGACGACTTCGTCAGATCCCTGTTTGCCTGGACCGCGGATTTGAATTTCGACTACGGCGAAATTCTCACCTAGGAAATCCGCATCTTTTTTGCGAATTTTTTTTCGGGCAGCCCTAAAAAAAATCTAAGAGCGTATAGCGTATTCGCTAGCGTATAGCGGATAGCGTGTGTACGCTAGCGTACATACGCTGTACGCTTAAGGTGTTAAGCGTATATTCCAACTTAGGTCCTCGTGGCATGGAGATGCATGGCGGCATAGCATGCCACGAATAAGCCTCTGCATCCCTCCCTCTGCCCCGCTCCTGTCTCTCCCCCCTGTCCTCCTTGCACGTGTGTGTGACTCAGGTCTGTGGTGTTGCAGATTCGCGGTGACATCCGAGTCATACAGACCGAGGTAAGGCGAGATAGGTGCTGTACCACCTGCCACGTGCTCTTCACCTGCACCACTCTCACTTCCTGCCCCTTTGTTCTCAAACTTACATCATCAGTTTCCTTGCAACCAGACGGGGCCCTTTGAGCTATTCATAGCATGCATATCTTCCCATTTCCATCATGCCCTATCTCCTACTTTATTCCATTGTACATACCCGGATCTCTTCTTCTCCACATTCCCCTTCCCCCCCTCCTCCCGCCCCCACCTCCTCCCCCCCTCGCAGGTGTTTCAAGCGCCTCGCTCGCTGCGCTTCCCCCGTGTCACCCGCGTGCGCCATGACAAGCCCTGGTGGGACTCGCTCGACCTGCCAGGTCAGCAGGGGCTGGGGGAGGAAGGGGGCGAGAGGGGGGGAGGGGGATGGTGCAGGGGAGGGCGAGAATCGAGGGAAGGGTGGGAAGAGGGATGTGTGGGAGGATGAGAGTTGAGTTAGCTTTGGAGTAGTGGGCACAGTCACAGAGAGCATGCACGCACGCTGGAGCTGCTTCTGAGAATACTTTCCAACAACTCCAACAAAGCGGCTCACCGCTGCCTATTGCAGCATCTTGTCTTTTCCAACACGCTGCCATTTCCCTGCCGGCCTGCTTTCCTGTACCTGTGTGTGCCGTGCGCACCCACCAGAGTGGCAGCGCATCGTGCAGGAGAGGGAGGAGCAGCGCAGCCGCGCACTCAAGGACAGAGAGGCGGCCAGAGGCACGGGGGGGAAGGGGCAGGGGCGAGGGAAGGGCAAGGGCAAGGGGGCGAGGAGGAAGAGGGCGGTGGAGGTACCAGCGTTCATGAGGCCCGTGAACACCGGGCTGTTTATGGGAGGGGCTGCACAGCACCCTGTGGGGGGCTCGGCCGAGCCCTTCTTTTCCGGCTGTAAATTCTGTGAGTGACACAGCACGTTTTTGAGTCGACTCAAAAATAAATTCTGTGAGTGACACAGCACGCCTCCCCTGCCGTACCTCTCTGTGCCTTCACCTCCACAGAGCCCTCGGTCCTGCTTCAATGCACGCTGCCTCGCCATCCCCTCCGTACTGCCTCTAGTGACATCTCCAGTCTCCCTCGCAAGTCCTTTGTCTCCCATGCTCCACACGTCCACTCATGATTGCTTGTCAAGTCGTTGCCCTGTGTTGTACCTCCCTCTCTTCTGCGTCCCTCGGCTTCCTATGCAACCATTGGGGAGCAGACGTGGTATCGGTCCCCCCGGGCGTGCAGCAGAAAGTGGTGCAGCAGCAGGTGGTGAGGCACGGGGGAGAGGTGCACGCCAATCTCAGCCGCGCTGTCACCCACGTAGTCGCAGGCTCCGCAACAGGGGGTGAGTGACGCAGCAAGTGCGTGAGGTGGTGCACGGGCAGTTGGGGGGAGGGGGTAGAGGCAGGCTGCTGCGCATGTGAGAGTGATTGACATGTGTGAGCACGTCAACCGCACGGCACACAGCACGTAGACCCCTGGAAACAAGGCTCCCAAGACCACAAATTTCTCATGCATGGGTGCTTGCGTATTGTGCAGTGTGTGTGTGCACACACAGCACGTGCACTCACGTGCTGCTGCACCGCTACCTACTCTTATCCGTGCCATGGCATGCATGTCCCCCCAGGGTTTCGTCTCAAGGCGGCTGTAAATGCAGGAGATGTGCTCACATACGATTGGCTACAGGAGTGCCTGCAAGCGCGAAAGCTCATTCCACCCAAGTCCAAGTGAGCTCCTTCTCCCTCCCATTTCCTGCTGCACCCATCCCTGGTGCGCCCACCTGTTTGTCTGCCTGCCATCCACACATCCCTCTCCTCAATCCAGCCACAAACCATTGCGCCCGATCCCTCCGCTCCTCCCGCTGACCTGCATGCGCCCGTTCCTTGGTCCCACGGCTCTCCTCTCCCCCACCAGGCACTACGTGCACCGGTCTCCAAGCACAGTGCAGCAGCAGCAGCAGCAGATGGACGAGTTCGGGGACTCGTACACAGATGACATTGCTGACGCGCTGGAGCTCAAACAGGTCTCGTCTCATTGCTTGCCGTCTGCTCATTCCCCTCCTAGCCACCTCTCAGTTGCTGCAGAGCTTGCACAGTGCAACTACACCCTAGCAATTGCATTCTTGCACCCATGGTGTGTATGCTGTTCAGCTGTGTGCTGCTTCGCTGCCTCTGCGGATATGTGCTGTCACAGCTAGCTTCTCTCTGCTTTCGAGGTGCCGAGGATGTGGCGTTGCTGCCCTGCCTACATTCCCATCTAATCTCACCGCACCACCACAACTCGTCTCTCTGTGTCGCTCTGCAGCTTTTTGCCAAGGTGTCTGAGGCAGCAGTCAAAGCAGTACCGAGTGGTGACTTGGCGGTGCAGCGCCGCAAGCTGTGTGTGGAGTCGGGTGCGGTGCACACTTGCATCTTCCAAGGGGTCGTGCTCTTTGTGCTGCCGTGCCTTCCCGCCCTGCACCACCAGCACTCATGGTAACACGCACACTGCTCGCAGTACCGCACCCCAAGATCGCTTCTCATTTTCCCCCCCGGCCTCATCGCCTTGCACCCGTTCCCTTGTCGTCATGCCCCTCCTTTGCTCTCATTTCAATGAAATCACACCGGGACTTTTCGATCCTGTCATCTGTCCTCTGTCCTCACATCATCTCCATATCTCCATGCATCCACCCCACGCATCTCTCACCTCCCCAATCGCTGTGTGTGTGTGTGTGGACAGGGCGGGGTGGCAGCATGTGAGTGAGGTGATGGCAGGGCGCAGGGCAGCACTGGAGGTAGCAATGGGGGGAGGCACTGTGGATGCAAGGCTCTCAACGCATGTCACGCACCTGCTGCTGCCGTCATGCCTCGCTTCCATTCGACACGAGGATGTGGGAGCTACTGTGAAGCTGTATCAAGACAGGTAAGCAGTTGCTGTCCCTGTCTGTTGCGCCACCGCCCGTGTCCCTTCCCTGGTCTTAAGCAAGGCACGAACCGGTCACTCCTGGCGCCCATTCCCCTCATCTCCCCCAACTCTATGCACCCACTCTCTCCCCCCTCTCTTCCCCCCACTTCCCCTGCGCTCCCAGCCTCACAGCATCGCAGCTCGCTCTTCTCTCTCGTGTCCTGTCAGTGCATGCGCCAGCCACGCCTGCACCACCGCCAGCACCAACACAAGGAGAAGCAGCAGCAGCAGCATCGCCACACCCCCGTGCCTCTACCCAGCAGAATCCGGCACATGTTCCACGGGTGGTCACGGTTGCATGTGTGGAGAAGCGGCTACAGGGGCAGGGGGAGGAGGGGCCGTGGGAGGGCTTTGGAGGACCCAGGTGAGGCCTTGACGATCCCCTATTGGCAATGCGGCTTCCCGTTCCCCCTTTTTTCCGTCACCACTGCTTCCTTTCAACCCCCCCCCAATTCTCCCCCCTACCCCGCCTCCGTTTCTCTTTCTCCCACACACATGTACAATCGTACTTTCCTTCTTCCCCATCGCAGCCTTTCTCAAGGATATTTTTTTTCTATCCTCTTCTACTCCACCGATTTTCTGCAGCTGTCCTGCTTTCCTGGAATCTTCTGACAGCGATGGGGGGGAGATTTGGAAGGACGAGGATGGGGGGAGCAGCACTGACTCAGATGGTGCTGGTGATGCCGGTGCCGGTGCTCATGCTGATGCTGATGCTGATGGTAGTGATGGTGGTGAAGAGGATGAAGATGAGGACGAACAAACCACGGATGATGAGGACGGTGGGTCCGAGGCAGGAGCGGTGCAGGAGTCGAGGTTGGAGGGGGTGGATGCAGCAACACAGCAGTGGGAGGACGAGATGAGTGTGTGTGAAAAGAGAATTATCACCACAAAGGATGATGTAACTGGGGTGAGTGGATCGCAGTCTCTTGTACGTGCGACATCAGCCAAAAGCTTGAGTCAACCAGGAACAGTTCCAGGCACAAGTGGGGTGGGTGAGGCATGTGCAAGTGAGTGCAAGGAGCACGAGCAGCATGCGAGCAAGCGATTTCGGGGAGAGGAAAGGCATGGTGATGCGGAGTTGGTTGGAGTAACACGAGACACAGCTCAGGGCAGCAGGGAGGTGGGAGATGAGTGGAAGGAGGGAAGCCGAGAGAAGTTGAGGAAAAAAGTGATGGACATGAAGAGTGCAGAGGAGAGTGAGGAAGCAGGGAACAGAGATGCTGTTGGGGATGGTCCAGAAAAGGTTGAGGAGCAGAGAACTGAGAAAATGGATTCAGTGAGGGTTGATGTCGACGACAAGACGAACGAGATGTTTGATTTTTTTTTCGGTTAGAGTTCAGGGTTTCGGGTTTAGGGCGGTGACGGCGGATGGCGCGAATTTTTTTTTTTCCAGATAAACTGAATCTAGGCATTTCCGCAACTAGACCTGTACCCTGGACTGTATGATCCGATTCAGGGTCCCCGCACAAAATCACGCTGGAAATTCAGGCCTAGTACCTACGCAAAAGTTAGCTGGAAAATCAGGATAGGCATAAAAAAAAAAAAAGACTTTCTCATCAGCGCTGGGTAAAAGAAAAATCCTGAAAATCAGTGTTCAAAGCCCAAATCAGGGTAAAATTCCTCCAATCTGAGGGCCTTCGAGCGCTGTGTACATCTGATGTGCTGTAACACGAGAGGCTTCTGATCCTCACTGTTACGGGTGCAATGAATCGAAGTAGCGAGAATTGCACTAAGGTGTCAAAACGAGTACAAAATGTGAGTGGCATGAGCGAACATTTATACGCGAAACATGCAAACGGTAATGCGGTGCGTGCGAGCTAGCTAGTGCTACGCTGGCAGCGAGGCTTGGGCTAGTAACGAAGCGTAGGCCGACACGGCCGGGCCAGCAGTGCGAGGTTTGGTGAAACAGTGCGCGCGAAGTCGGCGAAGCCCCGTTAGCGGTAACGGACGAACAACGGGTACTGCTGTACGCGATGTTGCAGGGCGCACTAAGGAATGTCGAGAAAATTCCTTACACTACCCCCCCCCCCCCCCCCTCCCCCCCTCAAGAAGCCCCCTCAGCTACGCGAGTGCGTGTATATCGCGGAAACCCCGGCTCCTCAGGTACACTTGCAGGGCAGGGTGGTTTTCGATGTTGGCCAGGGGCACCCAGCTATCCTCAGTTGGTGTGCGGTCCTTCCAGCGAACGAGGAATTCAATCCTCTTGATTCCCGTGGGGTGCCGAATCCGATGGCTCATGATTTTTTCGGGCTCGATGATCGGCTCCGATGCAGGGCGAGTCATGGATGGCAGGCGGTGACGAGGCAGTTGGCTTGTGGTTGGGATGTATGGGCGAAGCAGGCTGACGTGGAATGAAGGGCTGATGTACCAGTCCGTCAGCAACAGTAGGTGGGTTGTTAATGGGGTAATCATGTGGCTGATTTGGAATGGTCCATGGTAGTGCGGTCGTAATTTCGGTACGACGGGCAGTCTTAAGTTCTGTGTGTCGAGCAGTACGCAGTCTCCTGACTGGTACGTGACTGGGCGACGGTGGCGGTCAGCATTGCGCTTAGCGATGACATTGGCCTTTTTTATTGCTTCTGCGGCTCTGGTGCGGGCAGCTTGCAAAATTTCAGCGAATTGCTGTGCACGTGGCGTTGGGTTGTCCAGACTCGGCGTCATGGGCACTGTAGGGTTTTGCCCGTAGTTCAGGTAGAAGGGGGACTGCTGCGTCGTCGCTGACGTGGCGTTGTTGTATGTGAACTTGATCAGCAGCAGCTGCTGCTCCCAAGTGGTCGGGTCGTCGCACGTGGCACGAATCAACTGCTCCATCGTCTAATTCGTCCGCTCCGTTTGACCGACGGTCTCGGGGTGGTACGACGAGCTGAACTGTAGCCTTGTCCCGAACTGCTCCCAGATGTTTTTCCAGAAGTTGCTGGTTAACTTTGTGTCGCGGTTGGTATCCCTTGCAGTGGAACGACGACTGCGATGAACAGGCGAGCAGTTTCTTCGGCTGAGATCAATTTCTTGCATGGAGCGAAGTGTGCCATCTTCGTCAACCTGTCAACGACGACCATAACTGCGTCGTTACCCCCAGGGTTCGAAGGTAACCCTGTGACGAAATCCATAGTAACCTGCGGCCAGGCGCGCTCAGGCGGTGGAATCGGCTGCAACTGACTAGCCTTCCTTTTTCGCGAGCTCTTCATCACCTGACACGTAGGACACGAGCCCACGTGGTGCTGTACGTCGGTCAACAATTCTGGCCAATAGTAATACCACTGCAGTTGTTGTCGCGTTTTTTCTACCCCGAAATGTCCCGAGGTAATCCCGTCGTGTGCGTCCTGCAGTAACAGTTCCCTTAGTAGTGAGTACGCGGGTAACCAGATGCGGTTGGTGCATGTTTTTACGTAGTGGACTCCTTTGGCCTCTGCCAGTTGCTGTGAATTTCTGGTCGTGAAAAATAGGTCGGTACTGTATCCGTGGGTGAATAGGCCTGTTAACAGTGGGTTGGTTTGGGCGAGTAGGATGGCGCGGAGTTGGGCGGTGGGGCGTGTGAGTGCGTCGGCGATGTTGGATGCGTCATTTTTGTACGTGACCGTGTAGTGGAAGTTGGACTCCAGATAGTCCAACCATCGAATCTGTCATGGGTTGAGATTCGGTTGGGCGCAAAGGTACTGTAGGGATCGGTGGTCTGTCCGTACTGCCACGTCTGCTCCCATGAGATAACATCGCCACACCTTGAACGCGTGCACGATCGCCAGCATCTCGCGGTCGTGTATCGGGTAGTTGCATTCGGGCGGGTGAAGCTTGCGGGACTCGTACGCGATTGGCTGGAGGCCGTTGCAGAAGTCCTGCAACAGTACTGCTCCCACAGCGATGTCGCTAGCGTCGGTGACGAGCTCGAACGGACGGTGCGGATCTGCGATGTGAAGTACGGGCGGTGAGCACAAAATATTTTTGAGGGCCGAGAAGGCAGCTTGCTCGTTCTCCCCCCATGTGTACTCAACCCCCTTCCTCAGCAAGTCGGTCAACGGGTCACTCAGCTTCGCCATGTCGAGGACGAACCGGCGCACGTAGTTGACGAACCCCAGAAAACTCTGCAACTCGGTCAAGTTGGTCGGCGAGTGCCATGCTTGAATTGTCGCGAGTTTTTTCGAGTCTATTTCCACTCCTGGAGCCGAAATAATGTGTCCCAAAAATTCCAGTCAGTCCAGTAAAAACTCACACTTAGACGCTTTTGTCAATAGGTGGTTCTCACCCAGTATCTTAAAAACTGCTTCGATGTCCTGTAAGTGCTGTGCTCTGCCGGGGCTATAAATCAGTATGTCGTCAAGGTACACGATGACGCACTTATCTAAAAGCGGGCGGAAGGCTTTGTTTATGGTCATTTGAAAAGTGGCTGGGGCGTTGGTTAGTCCAAAGGGCATGACAGTATATTCGAAAGACCCGTAGTGTGTTCGGAATGCTAACTTGGGGCAGTCATGTGGGTTGACGCGAATCTGGTGGTAACCTCCCCGAAGGTCAAATTTCGAGAAAACCAGGGTTGTGCGCAGTTGGTCCATCACTTCGTCGGCTCGCGGGATGGGGTAACGAGATTTTATGGTAACCCGGTTCAGTGCTCTGTAGTCTATGCACATGCGAAAACCCTCGTCCTTTTTCGGCGTGAACAGTATCGGTGCTGCGAAAGGCGACGAACTAGGACGAATGAACTCCTTCTCGAGCAGGTAATCCAGCTTCTTCCTATGTTCGTCCAGTTCGGGTTGGGTCAGTCGGAGCTGTCGCTGTACTATTGGCAGTGCCCCTAATCCTAGTCCTATCCTGTGGTCGTGCGGTCGCTAAGGTGGCAATCCCGTCGGTAGGTCGACCGGGAAAATATCACTATACTGCTTCAACAGTGCTGCTAGATCACCCGGTACGTCGGCTAGCAGTTTCTGTAAATCCCCCCCCTATGTCTGCTGCCTCGGCTTCCCGAATGTCAACCGCGTACACGTCAGCTCCTGCCGCTACGGCGCGTTTCATCGTGATAGTGTCGACACGCACCGAAAAAGACTCAAGCAAGCCCCAGCGAGGTGAGGCGATGTTGTTACCGTTCACTTGCACGGTGCAGTCACCCGTCGTCCAGTCGATTCGCGGGTTATGTCGTCGCAGCCAATCACGACCAAGTAAAATGTCGGTTCCGTCGAGGGTCGTTGCGAGCATTTCCTGGCTAAACGTGAAGTTATCCCCGCATCGTATCCGAACTTGGTCCACACGTTCCCGTATCGCCAGTGGCGTGCCGTCGAACAGTCTTGCGTCGATCTCAGGAGAGCATCTGCCCAGTGGCAATCTCAGTTTTCGTGTTGTGGCAGTGTTGATAAGGTTGTGGCTGGCCCCTCCGTCTACAAAGATTTTAACTAAGTCTGTCCCGATTTTCCCACTAAGCAGTATGGGGCTGTATACCGTAGTACCCTCCTTATTCAGCCGGGTGTGGTCGATTGCGTGAACCGGCACAATCACTCGGTGAGGGTCGGTTGTGTCAGAATCTAGCAGCAGGAATGAGATGCACTATGGAAGAGTAGGGTGAGAAAAGAGAACGAGAATGATTGAACTATGAACAGTTGGGTACAAGTACTAACCCTAATTGGGTTGTACCCCTTATGGGCTACCCCACTAGAGCCTACACAAAAGTATAAGCTATAATGTTCTGACACACCCGCATAGGCAAAGTGGGGGAGAACAAGGGGTCACAAGACCAGTCAAGCAAAGCAAAGCAAAGCGAGCTCAGGGTGGATCACAAAGTCACCACACATTCCGAGCACAAGTTCAAGGCCACAAGGCCAGTTCACATGCAGGATTACATATATACATATAAAATGCTAGACAAGCAAAAGCAGGTATATATATATATGTAACAGTACAAGCAAGGTCAAGAGGTGAGCAAGTGAGGCAAGGCACGCACAAGACCCAGCTAAGTAAAGAAGCGCTGATGATCACAAGGCGCAAGCGCCTTGGTGAAGATATCAACAGTGTTGGCCTCAGAGGCCACGTATGCAAGACGCAGCTGACTGTGAGAATAAGCGAACAGGAATGAATGAACTAGCAGTGAAATGAGTACAAGTAGGAAACCCTAGAATTGTGTACCCCCTATAGGCTAACCCACTGTAGCCTACACAAGCATAACATATATAATGTTTGACACACCCCCATAGGCAAAGTGGGGGAGAACAAGGGGTCACAAGACCAGTCAAGCAAAGCAAAGCAAGCTCAGGGTGGATCACAAAGTCACCACACAGTCCGAGCACAAGAGCAGGGCCAGAGGCCAGTTCACATGCAGGAGTACAGACATATATATAAAACTAGACAAGCAAGAGCAGG